TTTAGTACTAAACCAATAAAAATCTATTAAATTAGTATCTTTTATGTAAGAAAAACATATCCTAAGTTTACACAAAATAATTGGATAGGCCTTTCAAATAAAAAAAAAAAAAAAAAAAAAAACACAATATTGGATAGGCCTATCAAATAAAAAAAAAAAAAAAAAAAAAAAAAAAAAAAAAAAAAAAAAAAAACTCAAATTGAATATATGTAGTACTGCCTAAGGATGTTGCTAGAGTATGTTGAAAGTATAAGAATTAAAATGAAATCAAAGTTAATAAGTTAAAAAAATAGGTAATAAATAAATGAGTGTTGGGATAAGTGGATCGACACTCTTTTCTTAAGTGAAGGTAAAGGTTTAATTCTCATGGATGAAGCAAATACTCGTTGTGCAGTGCCTTGCATTTGAACTGCTTTTCATTTTTATAGAGAAATGAGTTAATTTCTTTTTATATTTTTTTACCCAAAATTTTAATACTGTTAAAATCCCTCTTTCTAACATTGAAAGAGAAAAAATGACCCCTTATTTACTTTATATATTTTTTTAATATATTATTCATTAATTATAATATCAACACATTACAATTCTCGTATAGATCAGACATGTAACTTTGCTATCAAAAGCTAATAGAGTTCAATGATCTTCTTTACAAACCAAAAGAACTATATATATTCTTTTGAATGACAATACTAAAAATAAAAAGAGATAATATTATATCATTTAACTTGAAAATGATTTTGACAAAAGATGTAAATCTTCATAACAGCAACTAGTTCTTTAATTGATTTGAACGATAAAATAATAACTCATCTAGATCTTCTATACCTGAATTGCTCATCCAAGAACTTGCAACATATGACGTACACATATGAATTCCCATTATTATGCATCAATAGAGGAACATATTGTACTATTAGGCTACATTGATCAATGATCCACACTTGCAAATCAATATCAAAGGTCTCTAAGCAAATAAATCAAATATTATATTTTTATTTAGAATAAACCCTCACAAAGAGGGGACAGAACCCACGGAGAAGGAACAAGAAAGACAAATATGAGATAAAACAACAATAACAAAAATCAAAATAGATCTATTATAGGATAAATAGATCTGAGTTTACTAAAAATGAATGAGATTTTAAAATATATACAATATAAAATGAAGTTTATAAATAAGCTCAAAATTTTTAATTTCTAGAAATATTTTAATAGATTTTAAAATAATTTTTATAAATATTAGTTATTTGAATTCTTTTTGAATAAATAATCTAAAATTTAGGCATAATCCAATAAATATTAAAAATTTAAAAAAAGTTTCATCAAAGTTTGCCTTAATTTGGAATAGTTGAGAAGTATTGTCATCTCCCTTCACAAAACAAAATATAAACATCAATTTTGTTATAAAATATTTATTTATCAAATATAATGACATTAGAAAACAAATGTTATTCTAATAGTTATAGAATAATTTATAAATCACAAAATCATACCTTATTTTATCATAAAAAACTGAATACACTCTGTAATTCCATCATTATCACCATATTGATCAAGCTCACATCAATAAAATGCCATGAAAATATATAGTCTTATATTGTTTTCAAAGAATCTTTTTTTTTTTTTTTTTTTTTTTCTTTTCAAAAGATCCTTTTTTTTTTTTTTTTTTTTTTTTTTTTTTTTTTTTTTTTTTTTTGTGAAAGTATGATTTGATTTGATTTATGATTTCATTTATATTGAAATAGACATCCATACAAGTTCTATAACAATGGAAAAAAAGAAAATGAAGAGAATAAATATTAATGATATTGTTAATTATTTAAAAAGGGAAGTGAAAAAATTTTTAAATATTAATGATAAGAAAAATTGCTTATTTAAAAAATTAAAGATATCATTAATGATATTGATTAAATTATCTATTAATTATAATAAAAAATAATTTTTAAAAATATAAAAATTGTCTATAACTTGATAGATTAACAGTTTGCCACATAAGCGTTTTGATACTCTAAAATTATGCATAAGCTTCTAGGTTTCTGTTTTTATATATTTATATAGATAGATAGATTTAGGTTGGAACTTAATTAAGGTAACGTTTGGTTGTCAAAATTTTGATGAAAAGTAAATAGAAATTCTATATTTCATAAAAATTTCAAAGAATGGAAAAATAAAATTTTTTAAAAAGATAAATATTTCAAAAAATATAATGATATTAATTATTTTTTTAGGGAATATAATATTAATTATCATTATATTATTATTTATTTTATATTTTTGAGTATTTTTTTAAGAAAATTGATAATTCATTAATGAAGAATATAATATAAGCATACTGTACTATTTCTAAAGGAATAAGAAGTGTCATGTAAAAAATTGAAATATTTTATTTGGAGATGATTTTGACATAAGAAATTAATCTTATAGGTAAAAACTCATCTTTTTGGACACAACATACGAAACTTTTTGCAACAGTATTCTGCACTTTGTTCTTTCAAAAATTTGAACACTTGATGCTTGCACAAGAGTTTAAAATATCAACTATTCATGGCAGAATAGACTATTTAATATCAAATTCTATTAATAAAAAAATCGGCATCCGAATTTGAAGATTTAAAGTTTTCAACTACAATTCTTCAACATTCAATTTTGTATTTTAAACTCTCCAAAAATAAGAAATCACAAAAAGATATAAAAATTCTCGAATAACGAAGAACAACTCCATAATATGAGAGGAAATATAATAAAAGAAAACACAACCTTGTTAAAAAGGTACAAAAAAAAAAAAAAAAAAAAAAAAAAAAAAGCACTTCAAAAACTATTTAAATAAAACATATACCTTAGAGACTAAATTTAAAATTTATCCAAATGAACACAAATCTTTGAAATTATTGAGAAAAATCAATAAAATTAAAGGAAAAGGGTGAAGAAAAAAATAAAAATTGACCAAAAAAAAAAAAAAAAAAAAGCACTCAAAAACTATTAAATAAAACATATACCTTAGAGACTAAATTTAAAATTTATTCCAAATGAACACAAATCTTGAAATTATTGAGAAAAATCAATAAAATAAAGGAAAAGGGTGAAGAAAAAAATAAAAATGAACCAACGTTGATCAAAGGAGATGATCCACAGTGGCTCGAAGATAAATATTTAGAAGAACACCAAGAAGAGAGGGGAGGGAGATATAATCTAAAAATTTTTTATTTTTATCTAAACATGATAATTTAATATTTTTACAAATATTTTTTTGAAAATTCATCTTTTTTAAAATATAACTTTCTATGAAAATATTTAATTCTAATAATCAAATATTACAAAAGTAAACAATTGGTTATCCAATTCAGAGGGATAAAAACTGTTTTCCTTTAAGATTTTTCCCCCCCTTTATGGAACACCAATATTTGAACCGAGAGAAAGTAAGAAATGTCAAAAGAATAATAATAACTTTGATGAATTAGTAAAAAGTCCAAGATAAGAAAATTTCATTATCTCCCTGTTTTTGGAAGTTGAGTTTTTATCATGTCAAATATTTCTTTTCTAAGGAAGATTAAAGGTCTAAACTCACTCATTTTTTCTAATTCAATTCCTTATGAACAAAGGGACTATCAAAAGTCTTCCTTGATTGAATGCTAATTTACACACTATGTTACTCGTCAAAAGGTTTCTAATTTTCTATCAGAAAATTTTTTTTTACTATTTAAATTTTTTAAATAAACTTATAAATACTTTTTTTTCATTTGGTTAATATGTCAATTCCAATAAAAATATTGGAAAATATACCATTATCACGTAAAATTTTGTCAAATTTTACAGAAGAAAATTAATAATTACAATTTTATTCCAAAAAGAATATTAAAATTGCATGATTTCCTTTTTAAACTCAAGATTCAAGAATTGCACAAAAGTTCATAAATTCAGCGACTATATGTGAAACAAAGGCTTTAGGAAGCTGAGGACATTCAAAATAAGAAATGGAGGGAACACACTCTATTCCAAGGACTCAGACCCAAAAACAGCAGCTCTAACTAGCTAGTGGGCACACCAATTCGCTTACTTTTTGACAAGACTAAACGTAATAGATGTGAACCATTTGGCAAGAGTTTTATAATCTGAAATAAAAACTCCCAAAATAAGAATTATCTATTGTATTTGTAGTGCTCTTCATAGCCTGGATTACTATCATAGAGTCAGTTTCTATTTCCACCGCACATTGATATGCCTGCCACTTCACCCAACTCAGAGCCTCTTTACATGTTTAAAATATGTAATTTGAAACTTCTTTCTATATGCATAAATTATATTTCTAATTCGATTTTTGAATTCTAATGAAATAAAATATAGAACACAAATGTCAAAGAGGATATTTGGGTGAATAAGTCAAAAGCATAATTTCTTTATTTTTTCGAATAAAATTTAATTATTTCGTTTCTCTTGAAAATAATCTAATAATATCTTTGTTGATTATCATTTGACTTAACAACATTTTTTTTTTGGTAAACCCAACTATTCAATAATTTTTATTTTTGCTAACGCTCAAACAAAAATTAAGAAGTTTTGAATTGGAAATCCCCCGTTGATTAAGTCAAATTAATAAGGAAAAATAAAATGATTTGATGTCTTTTATGCAAAATAATAAATTTAATGACATGAAAAAATAAAATAAAAATAAAACATACACACATGTTGTCATCCTGTACCACACGTGTGCAAGCAACTAAACCTTCCAATTTCAAAAACCACCATAACTTAGCTTAGCTAATACAAATAAATTAATGACAAAAGCAAGTTATTTATTTATTTTAAAAAAAATTTGAATGACAAAAACAATTCATAAAACTCAAAACATGATAATCTTAAACCTTTGACTTTTAAGATTCCGGCATTTTTATCTCCACTTCCTCCACGCGCTGCTCATAGTCAACTCTCCAATTAACACTAAAATAAAATAAATCCAATAGCCATTCCCCTTTATTAAAATAATTAAAAAATTGACAATATCAAACCAACAAATCCTCAAAAAGTCAACTCCTTCTCTCTCATTCTTTTTTTGTTATCATCTGAGCTGTCCTTCTTCTTCTTCTTCTTCTTCAGTTTCACTTTCCTTTCTCTGCAAAAATGAACTAAAAAAGTACAAAACCATCAAATACAAAACTGAAGAGCCAAAAAAGATTTAAAAAAAAAAAACTTCTATCTATTCTTTAATGGGTAACGGCGTTACAAAAGTGAGCCGCTGTTTTGCTGATACAGCTGGGGAAATCTCTCGCCGGCATGACATCGCTGTTTACGTCGGCGATCATAAGGGACTAGGTCATTCCTTCTGTTATATACCAGCAGACCCAGCTCGCTTATCTAATAGTAAAGTTCACTCAGAAGAAACGACCACGTTTTTCTCTATCTCCGGCGCTTCAGTAAGTGCCAACACATCGACAACTTCTTCATCAACCGATGCGTATCTCTACAGCTCTAGTTTAGATGCCGCCTCCACTTTTGAAAGTTCTGTTTCTTTCGCCTCCGTTCCTCTTCAACCTGTCCCTCGCGGTCAGCTTAGCACAGGCGCTGGTTCTGGTATGCTTTTACCTGGTTCGAGTCCGATCGAGCGTGGATTTTTATCCGGTCCCATCGAGCGTGGGTTTCTTTCAGGACCGATCGATCGTGCTTTTGTATCGGCGCCGATCGATCGCGGGCTATATTCCGGTTTAATAGAGAAGGAGAAGGAGAGTGTTAAGTTGCAGAGAAGTTTCTCTCATGGCAGTTTTGGGATTGAACAAGTTAAACAAGGTAAAGGCAAGAAACAAAATTTAATTAAGAGTTTAAAGAGAGTAATATCTAAAACTATCTCTAGAGGTAAAAAAAGGATAATGGCACCAATTAAAGGTGTTAAAGAATCGGTTTCGATTAGAAATGGTGAGATTATAAGTGGTAGCAGTGCTAATTTAAGTACTCAAATGAGTTTAAGTAATGATGCTGATGAAGATAGTTTATTTTCCATGGAAAGTCAAAATCTGCAATGGGCACAAGGGAAAGCTGGTGAAGATCGAGTTCATATTGTAATATCAGAGGAAAATGGATGGGTATTTGTCGGAATTTATGATGGATTTAACGGTCCTGATGCTCCTGATTATTTGCTTTCTAATCTTTACAATAATGTGAATGAAGAGCTGAAAGGACTTCTATGGAATGAAAAGTCTGAATCCAATTCAACAACAGAGGAAACAGAAGAAACAGAGGAGGATTCTTCAAGTTCAAATTCAACTGGTTGCAATTCAAATCCTGATTTGAAAAGAAAACAAGGGAAGAATTCTGTAAAGAATAGAAGATGGAGATGTGAATGGGATAGAGAAAGAATGGAACTTGACAGGAAACTAAAAGAGAGAGAGACCAATTCTAATGGGGTTAATCGTTTTGATGTATTGAAGGCACTTTCACAAGCATTAAGAAAAACAGAGGAGGCTTTTTTTGAAATTGCTGATAAATTGGCAACAGATAAACCGGAGTTAGCTCTAATGGGTTCCTGTGTTTTAGTTATGTTGATGAAAGGAGAAGATGTTTATTTAATGAACGTTGGTGATAGCAGAGCTGTTTTAGCTCAGAAAGGTGAAACTGATGTTGCTATAGGGAAAGGAAATCAAGATTTGAAGATAATAAGTGAAGAAATTATACGAGACGATCTTCAAGTCTTGGATGGCGATGAATGTTGCAAATTGTCTAGCTTGAACTCAATTCAACTCACAAAGGATCATAGTACTTATGTGCAAAAGGTGAGTGATGTTTCTTTCTTTCTTTCTTTATTGTGACTTTCATTTATTTACACCCAAAATTGATAAAAAAAACATTTCGGTACTTACAGGAGGTTCAAAGAATTAAAAGGGAACATCCAGATGATCCTTGTGCTGTAATGAACGACAGAGTTAAAGGTTACTTGAAGGTGACACGAGCTTTCGGTGTTGGGTTTCTCAAAGAGGTAACATATATTCCTAAATTCATTCCAATCAGTTAATTTCATCGTTGTTCAATTCATGATTTTGACCTGTTAATTTCTGCAGCCGAAATGGAATGATATACTCTTAGAAATGTTTCGAATAGATTACATCGGAAAATGTCCATACATCACAAGTTCTCCATCACTTTATCACTATAGGCTAAGCTCAAGAGACAGATTTTTAATATTGTCATCTGATGGATTATACCAATACTTCACCAATGACGAAGTTGTTTCGGAAGTCGAATTGTTCATTGCTGCATTTCCTGAAGGGGATCCTGCACAACATCTGATAGAAGAAGTCCTGTTTCGAGCAGCTAAAAGAGCTGGTAAGATCCAAAATCAAATAAACAGAACTGAAATTAAATAAACAAAATCTGATCGAATTGGTATAATTATAAATTGTTATTGCAGGAATGGATTTCCATGAATTGCTTGACATTCCACAAGGGGAACGTCGCCGGTACCATGATGATGTTTCTGTAATCATTATTTCTTTGGAAGGTAGGATATGGCGTTCATCTGTGTAAATAAAACAGGAAAAATTATATAAATATATATAAATCCATGAAAATTTTTGTTTCTCTTATTTATAATTTTTGGTCTTGGATATATTGTAACATGTATACCAACTAGATTTTTAAATGTTGTAAAGGTTGTAGAAATGCTCTCAATTAAACAATTATTTTTTGTTTTTACTCCCGAACTATTCGACTGGTGAATGGCAATTGTAGCATTTAATTATATATCACTTGCTTTGTAGGACAGTTTTTTTTTTTTTTAAATGGCTTCGTAGTGCGGTTAGTAACTCAATAATGCTTCACAAATTCGATGTTTTTGACCAATAAGGTATTAATTAGAGTAGTCAATGACTTCAACCCCATAAGGGTGAGAACACAATTTTGATTTATGAAAATTAAATACCTTATGATCCTAGAAGGATTACACCTCTTATTTCCTTTACAAACTTGAAATCAAATTTAAATAAACTCGATAAGTAGGCTCAAAGTCAACATGTTATATTTATTAAATGAGTTCCAATGATTTTTTTTTTTTTTTCATATCAGAATTTGAGTAGCTTGGCTCATTATAGTTTATGAATATTTATTGTTCGTGCATTCAGATAATAGTTGATAGTGATTTTAAAATATTATTACTCTTTTATCTATTTTTTTAATATAAAAGACATTTATATTTTTATTTGCGTGTATTGAGTGTGTCGGCCGGATGCCTAATTCTGGCTTCACTTAAAATATAGTCAATAAGGAATGAGAATTTTTCTTGCTCTATAAAATGCAATTGATGAGAGAGAGAGAGAGAGAGAGAAGGATAAACCTAAGAATATATAAGTTCAATTGGGTTTAAAATCTTTGTATTATTATTATATAAGGTACGCATATGTTCTGTTTGACAAACGGTTCATATTTGCCTGCGTATCAATGAAGCCATTCTCACTTTTCTTTGTTCTCAAATATAATATACATTAACCAAACCACTTAACCATTTATTATTTTTTATGTTTAAAAACTTGAGTTGTTAGCAAACTTTAGAAGTTATTTTTAGTTTAAAAATTTTGAGATCATGGAATTTAATTTTTAAAGGACTTGTTTTAATACAATAAAAAAAATGAAAGTAAGCCCTCTTCGATGTTATTAATTGTTTTAATAGTTACTAGTTATAGTAGTTATAAATTGTTTCACCAGTTGTTAATCATTAGATAATATTCTTTCGGTTCGGTTAAAAATGTCATTTAAATAAAAAAAAATTAAAAAGCTATTAAATTTAATAGAACTGAAGTCAAAAACACTAACCCCTTATTTGTAACAAATGAATTTCACAATATTTTGTGGAACTCATCTAAAAATCCATATTTTTATGTTTGAAATGAATAAAACAAAAATAGTAGATTTCAATTTTAGGAATTCAATTCTATGCAATTGAAAATAATTACACCAAATTGCACAAAAATAGATAGAATTTCTAAATGAATTCCATAAAACGAAACAATCCAATTTTTTATGACAAAACTATCATTCTCCCTCTACAAAGTTAATTTTTCTATTTTTTTTTACTTATTTAACTTATTTATTTTATCAAACTTAATCAAAATCATTTAATTTTTTTTTTAGAAAAAAAATTATCTTATTATTGTGTTTTTTATTTTAATATTCTTCAACTTTTCTTTTAATATTTTTTAGCATTTTTTACTATTGAGATGAAAAATTAAGTTAAATATACATTTATCACTAATTAAATGCAGTAATTTTATTAATGTTATTTTTATTTTATATATTTATTTTGATAAAAATATGAAAAATTATATAGCATAACATAAATATAATTGATGTTTATTATTTATTTTTATGAAATTGCTAGTTCAAGGATATTTTAGGAAACAAAAATAAATGAATTTTGAATCATGAATTTATTTCATACATGATTATATGAAATTCAACTGAATTACATATTTAAAATTAATCATAATAAAAATGAAAATTTATTCATAAATAAAATTCTACACATATTCATTTACAAATGAATTTCCTATTTTGAATTTATTTATATCAAACGGAGTGTAAATGCTATCTTAAAAAATATTGATAGGAAGTAAAACAAAAAAAAAAAATTCTAATTTTATTAAAAAAAATTTAAGATGTTAAATTTATAAAAAAATAAAAATACAACATACTGTCTTGTAATCTCGTCATACTTTTCTTTTTTTCCTATTTCCTTTTTAAAAGTGAATAATATTTTTCAATTTACTATTTTACCGTAATATGTTTTTTTTTTCAATAAATATATTAACCAAAGTAATGTATTACTATCAATTTAATCTTATTAACCTTTAATCTTATATAGTTAATTTGATTGATTGCAATAACAATTAATATGAATCATTTAACTTTAATGAGATACTAATATAAGGATATACTAGGAAAAAAGAAAGTAATATTATAGTTTAACTATATTAACTAAATTTTTTTTATTAATTTGTATACAAATCAAACCAAGACAAAATTTATGGAACAGAAAAACTATGATTTTATTTGAAAATTATGATACTAAATTAATGAAATTAAATGTTGAAATGTGACATAAAAAATAAGTAAATAAATTTATGAATCTTTTAATCTAAAATTAAATAATTTATCTTTGGTCAGACAGAAAGAAATAAACTCTCTATCATATAAAGTAAATGTTAGGGTTTGATGTTGAAATTAATTATATGACTATGAATGTAAAAATCTTCTACCCACATATTATAATATTGTGTTTATATAAATATGAAAGTCAATATCTTCTACCCATGTTAGTATATATTGAGTTGTGTGGAATGTATATACATGCCTTATTTTCATATTCTAAAGCCCTTTGAATCGATTAGGTCTTTGTAATAGAAAATTATACTTAAATTTCCCAATCAATTTCTCATCTAACTTGACATATATGTTATCATGCATAATATAATATATATTACATTGATAGTTATGTGTCACATCAGGAATATATTTGATATTTAAATTTTGTTTCCATTTTATTTATAAAATTTGATTCCTTCGTGCCTAATTATAAACTATGACGTTTTTTTTTTTAAATCAAAAATTTTGTAATGTTGACGTGTATAGATGATCTATTCCGGCACTAGTGTTGCAATTCTGGGCTGATTTAATAAGGGTAAAAATTACAAATTTAATGAAAGTGGAGAATAAGAATCGAATTTCAGATCTAAAAGTCTCAAAGAATCGATTTTGCTACTTGGTGAAGCATCATTTCCGACATAGGTAATTTTTTATTTCTATTTAACCATATAAAGATTTTTTTTTTTTTTGAAAAATAATCAATTCATTAAGTATCAATTGAGTACATTATAATATTCTCGTAGAAATAAGAAATATAAATATAAAAAATTGAAATGTGCTTGTTGGAGATGATCGTGGCAGAAAAATTTAATCTTCTGAGTAAAAATGGTCAATTTTTAATTAGGACGATAAATGAAACTTTTCATAATATTATTTCGAATTTTATTTTTTGGAAACTTCTTACACCTGACACCCATATTAAAATTTAATATACTAAAATTTAGTGGAGGAACAATCAACATTACATCTTGTATTTTAAACTGTTAGAGAAATAAAGATAAAAAAAAGCTCCTTAATAACAAGGAAAAACTCCAAGAACTCTACTAAAAAATGACTAAAAACACTTAAGATATATCAATTATTACAAATCTAAGAGACTAAATTGAAATTTTGTTCCAAATGTTCGTAGATTTGAAAATTATATAAAATAAAGAAAAACAGCAGAAAGTGATGAAAAGAAACCACCGCAACTAAAAAAGACGATGGGTAGTAATTCAGAAAATAAAATTAAAAAAAACACCACAAAAGTTATAAAAAATAAACTTAATACAATATATAAAGTTAAGTTGTAATGTTTCCTTAACGTTAAATTAAAATATAATAATATATATAAAATAATATATAAGATAAATATAAAGGGATACTGCAATATACTACTATTAGATAAATCCAAGTTGTGTGGTAATCTTAGTAGTTAGTATTAAGATGGTAGAGGAGTGAGCAGCTTAAGTAGAAGAAAATTATCAGCTAATTTATATAATTATATATAAAATGAGCAGTTGGGATGATGGTCTGATAAGTCAATAAGCACCATGAATTATTAGCGTTTAAATCAAACGCACGTTTTTGTTGTCTTGTTAATATAAATTAACGTTTTTTAGAATAGAAAAGAATAAGGCATAAAACAAAAAATCAAAATCTTAATTAACTGGTCTTTTTGTCAGCACTTTAAATTATATATTATCTCAAAATTAAAAATGGCAGGATGATGAAGACAACTGGACCAACTTTTGATTGACAAGATTGGACAGAAGATTATTTTGTAGTTCATTGGTTAGAATTGGAGTGAGTTTTGAAATAAGTTATTATAGTATGAGTAGAGAAGAGTACTCCCTAATTCTTTATAATTCAATTTTGAAAACAAAGTGAAAAAAAATTATAATATAATGATTTCTTCAAGTATAGCGATGTTATTAAATTTTAGACTTAGGAAACTAATCTTGTTAAACAACTCGACAGATAGATCACTGATTTAACAACCATCATGAGTCCCGATAAAAATATTAATACATATATTAATTAGATATTAATTACTTTAAAAAATTAGATTGTAAAACTTGAGCAAAATATTAATTAAAAGGCATAGGAAATAGTCTAAATAAATTTTTTTTGAATGGAATAAAGAGAGTGAACAAGAGTCACTACCTACATAACGCTAATACCACAAAGCATTCGTTGCAAAAAGAATTAAAAATCTAAAGACGCAGGTTAAGAGTCTCAAAACAAACAAAGTAAGAAGGATAGAATTGACCAAATCTGGCCAAGAATGAGGCAGCAGGCAAATTGCCTCAAGCGAAAAACATTGACTGCAGAGACACACTCTCAACAATGAACTAATTTAAAACTTTTTTTTATACTAGATCAGGAGATCGCCAAAACGGATGAGGAGACGAACCAAATGACCAAGATGAACATGCCCCAAAACTAGTCGGATTCCACAAAATAACCTTCCGAAAAGCTAAGATCCAAGCACAAGCACAAAGGCCAACCTAATAGCAGTCAACTCCTCCTCTAAAAATCATAGACGCGCCCAATGATAATGGAAACAATCTTCCAGCCATTTACC